AGTTTGCCTTGCCTGCAGCTCTGCACCTTCCCACTCAGTTCCCATACCATCCCAGTACTCTACCACTACTGAGCTGCCAGACTGGGAGGAGAGCTCAGGGAACTCAAATGCAGGTTCATAAAAACAGGCTCATGCCAAAACGCAACTGTCAGCACCTTCTTCCCAAACCCAGCTGGAGAAGGGTGAGAAGTGACGTCTCCTTTTGACCTTCCAGTTACGGCATTTGCATGGGAAATGGGTCCTCACCTCGAGGGGAGTCAGACCCTGTCACTCACATCTACCGACAGAAAGCAGTTCAAAGACAAACCTTCGCCCTGTCTCGATGAAGCCTGGTTATGATGCCTGCCCCACCGCGGAGAGGCAAGAACCAGGTTCCTAAGAAATGACAACCCACCTCACCAACAGCAACCAGAAGCACCTCCCTGATGTGAGTACGCTGCGACTTGACCATTAGACTTGCACTGCCTCTTTTACTTCCCACCTCCACCTTGGGCTCTCCCAAATTACCTGTTGAATGGCTGAGCAGCTTCAAAAGGAAAAGCAGGGAATAAGTAAAGACAACTTTGTCTGGGAATGCTGCTGTCCTGGGAACAAAGATCGGCACAGACCTCAAAAGACCTCATAGCCCTCACTTCCAATGCAAGTTGGCGAATAGCTAGAAGACTAAGTGTCTATCCCAAGCTCAGACACCGAGCTCTCCTCACAGATTTCCTAGGAAGCCAAGACATGAAACACAGCATGGGCTCTACTCCACTGGAAAGCATCGTCAAGAGTTCAGCAGCACAACGTCCCCACAAAGTTTTATTTTGCTCTAATTGTAAGTAGTTTTCAACCTTGTTGGGACACAGCAAGTCCAAGCTTCAATACCAATGCAGAAAGCACACTGCGTTGTTTAAAAGGGATCTCTTGAACTTTCTAAAATAGTTAGAAATACTACAGCTCTGATAAACAACACTGAGGTAGCATCTGATTCTCACAGCCCCTTCCAGAGTCCCATAATGACAATGAAAACCAGAATTTCATAATGCCCTTAATGAAAGCACCACTTCCAAAAACTCCTATTCAGCAGGAAGCGGGGGCAGGGAAGAGAGCTGATGCAAGCACTGAACAAAATCCATGCACATTAATTCAGTCATGGATTTTATTCAATTGTCAAAACCTTTCAGATGGAAAACGATCCTTTAGGAAGCAGACGGAGGTGATGATTTCTTTATTATTTCTTCACCACCACTCAATACAAAATATCAAACACAATTACAAAAAAAAAAGTTGAAGAACATTTAGTCCCCATGTGATCTGAAACATGTGCACAAACACAATAGGCATTAATTTCATCACCCTGACAGCAACTGGGATAAGATGCTAAGGGTCACAGAGAGATGACAGCATTCATCATATTGAATTACTAGTTCTTTCAGCCCTTCAAACATCCTAATCACAGGCGTATTTGCAGTCATTTTGGTTTTCACATTCTATGGTACGACACAACCGGTTTTTGTCTGCATGAAATGCAAGAGAGCAGACTTCCCTAACACAATAAAGACAAAAGCAGTAACACAACAACAGTTCACAGGCTACTTGATTTAGAAACTTGGGGCCAAGTCAACTATTAGCACAAGCAGATGCAAGTCCTGCAAAGCACTTGAATTGCACCTGTTTGTGTCAGTGACTGCTTTGGCTCATCACTGATAAAATTAACATCCTTTGCTCTGTAAGACTTTCTACTCACTTTACAGAGAGTTCAAGCATCTCCTGTATATTCCTTCTAGAAAAGAGTACTGTAGCGCTTCTGCAGCTTACAGCAGGACAGGTGGGAAGCAACACAACTACATTTGCATCAAAAGCGACGTAAGGCCAAAGCAGGGCCATTCTCTCTATGCCACTTTCCAATGGACTGCATTTACAAATTTTCATTACTATGAGTTTATAATCCTGGAGATTGTTGAAGAGCACTGTCACAATGCTGCACAGGAATTAATTTTATATATTTATAGCTCCTTAAAAAAATTCATGGATATTTGCTAAACTGCAATTGCATTGACAAATTTACACAGCATCATAGGATTTTACTTTATAGTCATACTGGCTTTGACCAGTTTACCTCATTTACAGGACTGGTACGTTCTGGGTTGCGTTTTATACTCCAAATACTGGTTCTTCAATTTTCTGCAGCCGACTCTTGCATGATAGTCACCAAAAGGGCTATTTTTGGCAATTCATTAACAGAATTCTAGTATCATTGGAAAACTTAAACAGATGTGACCCAAAATTTAAAAAGGGGAAGTATTTACAGTATGAGAAAGTAAGAAACTTTTACAGTTACTTCATGAGCCACTCTCTAGAACATAAATACTCAGTAAGGGTTTACAGCAATTGTAGTTCTGTAATTATTTTAGATCTCAAGTCCAATACTTAAGAGAAAGGGAATTGCTAGTCTTCCAAGATTTTCTGTCATGCAGATCAGGTTATTGCCTTATTCAGTTACATTTCACAACTGAAAAGAATTTGCTACTAAGATAAAACATCTTCCTAGCATGAACTAGAGTTTCTGTTTTAATAAACTTGGCTAAAAACATCCAAGTCAAGGAGAACAAAAAAAGAAGAAAAATACTGCTTGTGCATTCGGTCGTGAGGGGGAGACAGATGTAGATACTTGATGGACCAACAGCAGGTGATACACAGAAACATCACTTCCTGACAAAATAAATTAAAAATGAATATCAAGATACAGTAGTATTTCATTCAGTCAAAAAATAATCTACATTTATGATCCAAACCAACTTTACTCTATTAAGGCCCCACTCACATTACTGGGAATTTCAGCAAAATTAGTATTTTAAGATCAGACATCTCAAATAATGCTCTAAGGCAGTTGTGAGTATCATATTGAAAAACCACAAACACTCCAAGCATAATAAACCAAAGAATGTACATAACATTAAAGACTTCTTATATAGGGTAAGACAGTGGCAGTGCTAAGAAAGTCACTTAAGGCTTTGATTCAGTAAGTCGCTTAAGCACCCGTATAATCCCAATTACTTCAGTGAGACTACGCAACAAGTTCCAATATTCTGATGGATGAGGTTGTTGGCCTCCCATTTATCCAGTCACAAAAAAATAACCCAACACACTTCAATCGATTGAATAAATTAACAGATCTGAAAGAGATGCTGAACTTCTCCCGCCCATGGCTACTATGATGCTTTAATGCTGGTAAAGCCCTACAGCTGCCTTTATGAAGCCGAGCAAGTTACTATTCTTGCACTGTTTTTTGGATTAAGCGATTAAGTTTAATGATGCTACACTTCTGCATCCAAGTACAGGCCTTAAAACAGCCAATTCACAGTAGCTCTCACGTTACCATCCCAATCTCAAACACTCAGGCACATGCTTAACTTTCCACTGTGACTTTCAAGTTAAACGTGTTCAGTGTTTGCAAGAGCAGGTCTGAAAGGACACTCTGTTTCTCCTCCTTAAACAAATGGGGGATATCTTCCAGTTAAATGATACATGAATTTTAAGGATTCTACCTCTTACCTTTCTACCCATGTATCATATTTTCCAAGTTTTTATTTACCTTTCAGCCTCAGTTATTATTTTACTTATCCTATGACATATGCCACATTGGTTTTGTGGACTCTCTTATTTGTTTCTGTTATCCTTTATTTCAGCTTCGCACGTATCATCTCCTCTTAACATCGTCTGTTGCTTACTGTGACAAAGCACCTCTGTTTTAATAGTCCTAAGTGACCACCTGTACTGTCTCCCACCATTTTTTTTTGTGTGTGTGTGGATGAAGTTTATCAATGCAATAAAAGAAAACAGAAGTCAACAGATGATGGCTGCCTTTTTGTTTCTTTTGGTTAGCATTTTCCTTTCTGTACCTTTATGTCACAGGCACTTTTTTTCGATAAAAGTTCTTATGTGGTAAAGTTCTTATATGATAAAAGTTCAAAGTGGTTGCTACTCAGTGCACACTATTTGTAGGAAATTTGAATAAGTTTTCTGTTACAATTTATATCTTGATTTTTGGCTCTCATTCTTAGAATGGGTTGAATTTAATTACTATACTGCTACTTTCAGCAGCTAATGACCAAAGTGTGTTACTAGACATCAAGATATCTGCATTAAAGATACTACATAAAAAAGAAGGCAGATAAAACAGTAAGTGCTTAATCCGCTTCCCTTTTACCTCCTTTTTTTTTTTTTTTTAACAGAGATGTAAATCGCAACACAAGTTCACTAATTTGGACAAGACGCAAGAGTGAAGTTACAGGAGTTACAAGCTGAATCAAAAACTAATTACCACTTAAGTAAGATCTCACTTGTTTTGTATCCGTTCTATTTAGCCTGATGTCAAACTGTGCAATTCTATCTTTAGCTAGCTTTGGGGGTTTCCATGAGAGCTGGTATGAAGTGAGGCCTACAACTGCTCAAGAGTGGGAATTAGGGAGACCTAGCCTGATTTTGAAATAAATGCTTCATAAGAGAGTGGACAAATGGTTTAGCTGTAAATATGAAGGGCGTATTTGTATCAGTCCTGTCACCTGCCAATCAACATGTAAGCACTTGTTATTCTTTACTCTCAAGCACCTACAGCTGACACTAACTTCAAATACAATTCTGTATATTCAGATAACTTTGAAAGTCCGGTTTAGGCACAGTGAGCACCTGTCATTTACGTAATTATTTTTTAAGCGCAGAATTAAAAGTTTCCTTATTTACTCTTCAAATTACAGACAAATATTTAACCTTTCAAACACCCAACGCTTCGTGAGATAGGTGAAGTATTATTATTTGAATGCAAATACCCCTCTGGCCACGCAAGAGAGGCCTCCGATCCCAACTTATTAACCCGAAACCTTGGACTTCAGTTTCTGAGAGACTGAATAACCGCAATCCACGGCTGATACAAAATTTAAGGGCCGGAGACTGACAGGGGGTAGACTGCGTGAAAACTGGGAAGCTGTAATAATTTAGATGTTAAATCATCTATTTACTGCAAGCTCGTAGGTGTATCCAGTGCAGTTATCGCTGCCTACAGCGTTCTTGTCTGCTGCCAGTTTAATGCTACAGACGTGCAACACAGGCCAGAGGGTTCGAGCGGCCGAAGCAGGCTGCCACTCGAGCGCTGGCAGAGCACGACCGCTGTCGCATCCCTTCCGTTTTCCCGACCTGCAAAAACGAACGCGACACCAACACGCCGTGAAAACCGTCGCCAGAGGAGCGACGGCGGCCGCCGAGCAAGACTCTCC